GATCAGAACACAGGCAATCTGGTTCAGATTCCCTGCTCATATTTATTAAAATGATAGTCTCAAAAGATACAAAAAGTTCTTAGTTTTCTGATGCTTTGTTATTATTTTTAAATTTTAGGTTAACAGTTATTGACTATTACCAGATGCTTTTCAAGCAACTGTTAGAATGATGTGTTGTTTTTCTTCTTTAATCTATTAATATAGTAACATTAATATCTTTTTCATTTTGAACTATGGTAGTCTGTTTCTGTCTACAGAGGCTATAATCCAAGATGTTTCAAGGACATCTGAAACCATGAATAGTACTAAACCCATAAATGCTATATTTTTATACATGCATATTTATGAATATGCATGTATAAAAATATGTATATTAGGCTCAAGAAGAAATCAACAACAATAACTAATAATAAGGTAGAACATATTTATAATATACTATATTAAGTTATTTCAAACTTAGGAATTTTTTACTTCTGGAATTTCTATTTGATATTTTCAGACCTTGATTGACTATAGGTAACTGAAACCATGGAATGGAAAACCATTGCTATAGGTTTATATGCTTACATTTTTAAGCTAAGTACTTGTTAGTGTTTACATTTTGGTTTTGTTTTCAAATGTATTCAGGCTTTTTCACACAAATGTTCATAATAATTTTGACAATACTTTTGTTATGTAATTTTTATTTATTTGGTATCCAAATGTATGTGCAGCTTACATTTCTGACCAAGATGGAATAACAAGGAATGGATTTACTCCTATACCTGAAACAACCAAAAAACACATATAAATATATATATATATATTTATATATATTTATTTATTATTATTTATATATTTATTTAACACATATAAATATATATATATATATTTATTTATTTATGGGTTTTATTTTATATATATATTTTAAAAAGACTGAACATCAGATGATGAAATATAATGATGTTGATTTATTTGGTTTTGGGAATTGAACCCAGGGCCTCTTAACCACTGAACCACATCCCTAGTGTGCCCCCCACACACACACTTTTTAAAATTTTTAGTGGTAAATTGACACAATACTTTTGTTTATTTATTTATTTATTTTATGAGATGCTGAGGATCGAACCCAGTGCCCCACATGTGCTAGGCAAGCACTCTAGCACTGAGCTACAACCCCAGCCCTGCAGCCCTTTTTATTTTTTGAGACAAGGTCTCAATTGCCAGGGGCCTCACTGAGTTACTTGGACTGGCTTTGAATTTGCAATCCTGCCTCAGCCACCTAAATTATCTAGGATTACAGGCCAACCAAGACAGTGATCTTGAGAGATGAGAAACAAATGAGGTGAACCCTGCAGTTGCCCTTGTTCACTGCATTGAGACATTTTAAGCTATGACACAGGTAGGAAATCCAAGGCTGAGACTATTGGATACTATTAATTTGAAGGATGTGTCTGGGGAGGCAAAAGTAGTTAGTAGAGTCAATAGAACAAAATAATAAAGAAAAGAGGACACTACAGAGAACTTTGGAAAGGTTCAGAGGTCCCTTTCAACTATTCAGCTGATTAATGATCAATGTTAGCATATAAAGAAACTACTGAAGGACCAGGGGAAAAAAAACTGGAAAAAAAAAAAAAGAATTAGAAGTAACAAAGCCTGACATTCTCACAAAGTCTGAAATAGTACCTGTTCTTACCAGCCAGGTTAGAAAACATATTGGTTCCTGGGATATTAGGGAGGATATACAAAAAAGTCTTACCTCAATAGAAGGAATATAATTAGCCCCAGATATCATCTCTAAAAAGCTCAACAAACTTCAAGTGTAAGAAACATGATGAAAACTATGCTAAGGGGCATCTCAAAAAGGTTGCTCAGTTGCTCAATCAAATTGATAACATGTAAATCCTATACACAGCCAGAGGCATAAAAAGACCTTTCATGCAAAAGACCTTTCTTTAAAGGCATGATAGCTGATTTTTTTTTTAAAGTGCCCACAAAACACTAATTTCAAGACTTGTAAAGCTATAATGATCAAGACAGTGTGGTAGTTGCATAAAGATAAGTAAATAAATTAATGGAACAGAACAAGATTTGGCAAACTGCAGCTCACCTCCTATTTTTATAAAGTATAATAACACAGCAATCCCCATTTATTATCTTGGCTACTTTTGTGTCACAACAGTAGATTGGCAATTCCAGCAGAAACCTCATGGCCCTCAAAGCCAAAAATATTTACTTTCTATCCCTTTACATAAAAATTTGCCCGCTCCTAGAAATGAAAAAGCACAAATAAATCTACATATATATAAACAACTAATTTTTTTCAAAGGTGCAAAAGGCAGTTCCCTTAAGAAGGAATAGCATTTTCAAAAAATGGTGCTAAAATAATTGGTTATTCATATTACAAAATGAATTAGATTTCTGCTTCATGCCCTGTATAAATATTAATTCAAAGACCTAAACATAAAACCTAAAACTTGGAGAAGAAAACAAGAGAAAGAAAACCTTGTGACTTTTAGAAAATATTTCTTAAATACAACACTAAAAGCAGAGTCCATTAAAATAGACTTCATTAAATCAGACCTTCTGCTCTTCAAAAAACAATATTAAGAAGATGACTAAACCGCAGGGAAAAAATTATGTGCAAATAAATTTTCTAACAAAGGCCTTGCATTCAGAATATATTTTTAAAACTTTCAAAATTTAGTAATAAGAAAACAAGAAACCTAATTAAAAAAATAGACTATTTGAACAGATATATCACCAAAGAGAATATATAGCTGGATACACACTTAACCAAATGACCTAGCAATTCCACTCCTGGTATTTCCTCCCCCAAAATTAAACCATCTGTCCTTACAAAGACTCAGCACTAAATTACAGTAAATTTTGAATATACATATTAAAAAATGGAAGTGTTTCTTCATCTGATATATGTCAAGTGCTTTCTATTCAAAGTATGATTCTAGATTCTAGGAATATAGCAGGGAACAAAATAGACAAAATTTCTACCTTATATGCTTACATTCTGTTTTGGTAATATAGACAATGTATTAATTTCCTAGGGCTACTGTAACAAACTACCACAAACTGGGTGGCTTAAAGAAACAGAAATTTATCCTCTCAAGGTTCTAGAATATAGAAATCATGAGTCTAGAAAGAAGCATTTACCTCTTCCTAGCTTCTGGTTATAGCTTTCTTAGCTTGCAGCAGCATCATTCCAGTCTCTGCCTTTTTTGTCACGTGACATTTTTCTGTGTGTCTTTCTTTTCTTAAAAGGACAGCAGTCATGGCATACTAAGAGCCCATCCTATTCCAGTATGACATCTTAACTAATTACATCTGCCATGGCTTTATTGCCAAATGGGTCACATTTTAAGATATTGGGAGTTAGGACTTCAACATATCTTTAGGGGAATGTGATTAAACCCATAACAAACATTAAGCAAAATAAGTACATGATATGTTATTCTAGAACAGAGGTTGGTAAACTGGCCTGTGGACCAAACCCAGCTTGCAGTCTATAAAGCTATATGGAAACAGCCATGCCTACTTGTTTGCATATTAACTATGACTGATTTTGCACTCCAGTAGCAAAGTTGCCTAGTTGCACACTAAATCTAAAATTTATTATCTGACCCTTTACATAGAATATTTGCTATCCTGCATAGTAGGTCTTAAGTTTATGGAGACTAAAATAGGAAAAGAGCCAAAATAAGCAATACATTGTCATCAGGGAAGATCTCTATATTAGGGGGAATTTGAGCAAAGGCTATAAGAATTTTCTTTCCCCCAGACCTGGGAATTGAACCCAGGGGTACTCTACCACCGAGTAATATCCCCAGTCCTTTTTATTTTTATTTTGAGGCAGTGTCTCCCTAAGTTGCTAAGATTGGCCTTGAATTTGTAGATCCTCCTGCCTTGGTCTTATGAGTTGCTGGGGTTATAGGCGAGTACCACTGCACCTGGCAGGAATTAATCTTTGTATTAATATAGATGTGCAGTATATAGTGTTAAATGAAAAAAGCAAGTAATAGAATATTTATCACTTGTGATCCTATCTTTGTAAAGTATAAAAGTATATATTTAAACAATATAAAGTTATAATGTATTCATAGAAATTTTTGCAAAGCTATTTGGTAGAATTACAGGGCATTTCCACCTGGCATTTTTCTGCTTTTCACTTAAAATTTTTAAAATATTATAAATATGGTTTCTTGTGTTATTAAATTATATCAAAGGCTTACTGTGTTTTAAACAATGATGGAGGATTCCATTCTTTGCCCAAGTTTTAACTTAACTATATTTCAAAAAGGAGCCACCACTACTCATGCTAGAATTTAACCTAATGTGTTTTAAACAATGATGGAGGATTCCATTCTTTGCCCAAGTTTTAACTTAACTGTATTTCAAAAAAGGAGCCACCACCACTCATGCTAGAATTTAACCTAGCACTGGGCAAACCTTAAAATGAATTTGTGTCTACATGCATAGAATACATTGGCATTTGGAAAATCAGCAGTTTTAATTTAGTGCTATCAAAAGACAAAAAAATTAGGATTCTGTCAAAGCACTGCCTTGCTGCTTTTGTTGAATTCAGCAAAGCATCCCTTTCACATTTCTGTGGTATTCCATAGATATTAAGGAATTTGGAATTAAGTGTAAGTGAGCCTTAGTGTTTGCAAGTATGTATCTAAACATACTTCTGGGCTGATGTGGTCCCAATTTCTCTGAAACTGTGACAGAAGGATCACTTGAGCCCAATAGTTTCTGGCCAACCTGAGCAACATGGCAAAACCCTGTCTTAAAAAAGAAAAAAAAAAAAAAAAAAAACTAGGCTATTTAGTATTCTTACACAAGTGTTTTTGAGATTATTTTATTCTGAAGTTCAGAAGGTCTCTAAAATGGAATACTTTGTGCAAACCTGAAAACCTAATAGCAGATAAGGATTTTAGAAGCACATGTATAATAAATGTTACCAATATGTTGGCTTTCTGAACAAGGCTGTTCTCTCTTTACAGCAAAACCCAATAGAAAGAACATGACATTTGGAGGCAGAAGACTTAGTTTCAAATTCCTGCTCCTTCACTTACTAATTTTGTGATTTGGGGTAAGTAATTTGTCTCATCTGAACTTTTGTCTTTTCTTTGCAAAATTCCAGTAAATAATCTCTTTCCTACCCACCTGATTCCCTAGGATAGTAGGAGAATCAAGTAAAATAATTTATGTGAAAGTATTTTGTGTAAGGTAAAATAGTATCCAAGTGTTAATGAACTCGTAATTGGTTCTAGTGAAATAGAGCTGAGGGTATATCATTTTAAGTAATTAGCTTAATTATTTAATGTAGATATGATCAGCATTTTGCAAATTTATTTAAATTAACAATGTACTATAATAGATAACAGAAATTTTCCTCATCACTAATCCCTGTTCAACTTAATACTCAATACATGGTTTTGCTTTTTTTTTAATATTTATTTTTCAGTTTTAGGTGGACACAATATATTTATTTTTATTTTTATGTGGTGTTGAGAATCGAACCCAGTGCCTCACGCACGGTTTTGCTTTTTATTTTATAATTATAGTAGTAATTTTACCATGGTAACAAAATTCACATTGATATTCCTCCTCATGTGTAATGTAATTCTGATGCATCTTTTCATGGTTTTTCTTTGTTCTTGAGTTCTATTTTTAAGAAAAAGAAAATAACAAAAGTCACAATTATGGGCAATAAAAATAATTTATAAGGAGTCACAACTACTAAATATTCATCAATTGTATCTCTACACTTTTCCTCCTACCTAAGAAAATCCATGGAAATCAAAGTAAATGAGAATAAACAACTATAACAGTTATCTCATATTCTAATTTTTTAAATAAGTCATTCATAAACTTTGTTACTTTAACATTAATAGTAGCAAATTACTTATGATATATTTCGTAGCTACTTTTAACACTGTTATGTTGAACTACCATGGTTGAAGAACTACTGTCATAGAAGAATCACTCATTTCTTTGCTTTGTCTGTCTACAAGTCATGATTTGGCTTTATAGATGTGCAGATTATAAGGAAAATAAATGTATGCAGGATTATTGCAATATATGCATAGAAAATTATACAGGAAGTGAGGAGAGGGTAGTACTATTAATAGAATTTTAAATTGAGTGTTTACTGTCAATAAAATGAAAGGGAAAAATAAGCAGAATATTGTTAGTTCTGTCAATTTTAAAACAAGATGAGCTCCCAAATAAAGTTAAGTGTATTGCATATATTTTGTAAAGTGCTGCTATTATCTCCATCTCTTAGAATTATATATGAAATCAAGTGCTTTAATAGATGTTCCCTCTCGCCGCATCTCAATAATAATCTTTAAAATTAGGAAATGGTACTTTGTGCTATAACTGCAAGTATGAATCCCCTCTTTGCTTGTGTCCTTTTACTTGTGTCTCATGCACTGCTCAGTTAAATGAGTGCTTTGAAGTAATCATAAATATTTACACTATAATCATAAATATTTTGTTTTGAATTTTATTATAAGAATATGGTACATCAATAGAAAGATTGACAGTTTTCCAGAACTGTAGAGAAATCTTTACAATGTTAGCCGAGGTATTTGGTGGAATGAGTGGTCAGGTTCACATTACCACACATATTTTCTTTGTTTTCTGATTTCATGAGCAGTTAAACATTGTGGTAGAATTTTCTAGTATGGGGCTATTTAAAGTGCTCCCCCCACCACCTTTTTTTTTTTTTTTTTTTTTTAACCTTGCATGGAATCAGTTTCAGGGCCTTGCACATGTTGACATGTGCTCTGCCACTGAACTGTGTCCCCATTCCTAAGTTAGACTTTTTAAAGTTGGGGAGTAAGGGAAGAAACAGGTGGAAGAAAATGGCCTCTGCAACTTAATTCTTTTATACCTCTCCTAATGTGGTCTAAACAGTTCATTATCTGTTTTGTACAAAGTGATTTACATGGTTAGGAAATACATAGTCAAGTTAGAACTATAATTTTTAAAAATATTTATTTTTTTAGTTGTAGTTGTACATAATACCTTTATTTTATTTATTTTTATATGGTGCTGAGGATCCAACCCAGGGCCTTACGCGTGCTAGGTGAGTGCTCTACTACTAAGCCACAACCCAAGCCCCTAGAACTATATATTTAATAAAAGAATACTCTGTTCTAAGTGTAATACTGTGAAGCACCAATCAAAAAGTCCATAGTTTTACTTAGCAAAAAAAGTTTACACATTCTTTTTTATTTAAATTGTATGTTTCATAACTTGAAAGTAAGGCCTTGCACATGCTACGCAAGTACTCTACCACTAAGCTACATTCCCAGCCCAAACTGTATTTTTGTATAAGTACTAAAGTAAAATTGGTACATCATTGAAAAATTCCAAAGAAAGTATAGTAGAGAGTTTCCCTCCTACCCCAGTTTCTCAAACACCCAGTCACAGCCAACATTAAATTTTTATCCCTTCTAGAAATATTTTATTCATAAATAATGAAATGAGTATATTTTGTTTTCTTTTTAATTTTGTTTACTGACAAACAATAGCAGATATACATTCTGTGCCTTAACAATATACTTTAGATTATGTTATGTATTTATAACACAGGATTTGGGGGGGTACTAATGGGGATTGAACCCAGAGGTATTTTACCAGTGAACTATATTCTCAGCCCCTTTTTTTTTTTTTTTTTAAGATAGGTTCTTACTAAGTTGCTTAAGGCTTCAGCCTTCCAAGTAGCTGGAATTACAGGCACACTCAACTGTGCCCTGCCTAGAATTTTTTTTTTTTTTAATGACTACATATATACAGTGTTTAGGCATACCATAATTTAGTGGCCTATCAAAAAATTTTAGGTTATTTCAACCCTTTACTGTTGAAAAGAGTGCTGCAGTGAATAACCTTATACATGTGTTGTTTTGCTCATATCTGAAAGATAAAATAACTAGAAATAAAATCATTAGATTCAAATGTATATGTATTAATTTTTAACTGATATTGCAGTATGCTTTATATGGCTATGCACCTTATCTGGGTACAGCCATCTTTGTTTTTAATTAAGAACTAATTTACAAACAATAAATATTTAGTTTTAAGTGTACGATTTATTAAGGATCTAAATTAATTTGTGCTGTAACCTGCAAGTGTCTAATGAGGCCTTTATTTTTTAGTCTCACAACAATGTTGATAACTTTCTGGAATTTATGTTTTTGTCAATATTATATAGGTAAGAATGGTATAGAGATCGTTTTTTGGTTTGTTTTTGTTTACTTTCATATGTAGTAAAGTCCAGACCTCATGAGCATACAACCCAATGAGTTCTTAACATTGTCCAGGTCAAAATACAGAACCTGCTCCACACCCTAGAATGTTCCCTTTTGTCCTTTTCCCTACATAAAAATAGCTGCTCTTTGACCTCTATCACCAAAAGTTAAATTTTGCTTGTTTTGAACTTAATATAAGGGAAATCATGTGGGGTGTACCTTTTCAAATGTCTGGTCTATTTCATTCTGTATTATACGTGAGATTTATACATGAGATTCATACGTGCTGTGTGTACTTGCAAATAATTCTTTGTTATTGTGATTACTCAGTTACTTGAAAAAATATACCACAATGTATCTTTTTTTTTTCTTTTTCTTTTTGGTGGTAGGGATTGAACCCAGAGCCTACAGGCATACTAAGCATATGCTTTGCTATTGAGGCTAGACCCCCAATCTTTACTGATAGGGAATGTTCTTCTATATATCTTTGGAAGAATTAAGCATTGTTTTCATTTGGCTCTAAATCTTGTTTGTGTATCTTTTGTTTGGTTATAATTGAGGTCTAATTTATAAATAGCAAAATTTACCAATTCCTGGTGTACAATTTGATAGGAAACCCATGAGTCTTTTGCATTTCTGCAGTCTTCTAAGCAAAAGCCCTGACTGCCTTTTTTTCTGAACTATCTTTTCAAGTTTATTGGAAGATAGAATTGGTGTCTCCCTGTATTGCAAAGCGGCGGGGCGGGGGGGGGGGGCAGGTTTTCTTATAGCATTAGAAGACAGAGATAATGTCTCCCTCCAGAGTAAATATCAAGCATGTTTCCTGCTCATTTTTTAAAGATTTGAGTTTCTTAAGCTTGGTCTTTCTCCTGTAAGGTGCCACCTGACTCTCACAATACCCTGTGGGAATTGGGGCTCCAATATCTGGCACATTAAAAAGTACTGCACTTTAAAAAGTACTCTGACTGCTGTTGTTAAGAGTAATAAAGTCTTATGTCTCTGACTTAAGAAGTCTCATCTTTTGCCAGTATGCCTGAAACTCTGTCAGGCTAACTTGTTAGCTCAAACGTAAGGTAAAAATCTCACCTCAGAACCTTTGCAGTTCTTGACACAATTCAATGAATTTTGGCCAGTGTATAGCATCTTATAGCTATCACTATAATCATGACATAGAGTATTTCTATCACTCAAAAAAGTTTATTTTGTCCCTTCTCTACTTCAGTGCAGGAAACCCCTGATCTGCCACCTGTCACCTTAGTTTTGCTACTTCTAGAATTTACTATAGATAGAATTATATAGTACAGCCTTTTGTATCTGGCTTCTTTTATTCAGCAGATTGCTTTTGAGCTTCATTCATACTATTGCATGTATTGCTAATGCATTCCCATTTATTGCTGAATACTGTTCTGGGTTACTTCCAGTTTGAGACAATTATGAATAAAGCTATGAACACTTAATTATGTCTTCATGTAGACATGTATTTTAATTTTTCTAGGTACATTCTTAGAAGTAGAAATTTCAAGTCTTAGAGTGTGCTTTTAACTTGATAAAGTGGCTGCTTAATTTTTCATTCTTATCTGGGTATTTTTAATTTTCATCCCTCATTTCCAGTGAGTTTAAAAGTATCTTTCATACATTTTGTTTACTTATATTTCCTTTCCTATAAACTGCCTTTCAAATATTTTTGCTTATTTTTCTAGTAGGTGTTAGAATTTTCTAGTGATTTATAGCCATTTTTCATATATTAGGGAATATTTTTGGTCATGTTATAAATTATAAACTCTTTTTTCACTTGTTAAGTGTCTTTTAAGGTTACTAATAGTGGGTTTTGCCTTGAAGAAATTGTGTCTCTGAAGTTCTTAATCTCAGTTACTGATGTGTTAGACTTCATAAAATACAGAAACAGGATTGGTCTCTTAAGCTGAAAGTATAAATTATGTTTTTCAGTCATTTTATGTAATAACTTAAGCAGAAATAAAGAAAAATATCTTGAAGTCTAGCTTTCTGCATTCTCATAAGAGTTTTACCACCAGTTAGAAAACAATTACACAATGGAAACAAAAAAAAATTGTTTTAAACTATGTGTATATAAAAATATTAAAAATAATCTTAAATGTGTGTGTTACAGAAATATCTGTGCAAGATGTTGATGTTGCAGATTTGGCTAGTGAAAGCTTTGCTTATTTTCCTCACAACTGAATCTATAGGTAAGGTTAATGAAATGCCCTACATTCTATCTCCACAAATTAGGTTTATGTGTTTTTATATACTTATATAATTAAGCTTATGTTCAATAATACATTATTATGCTTATGTGTTTATTCTTTCTAGTATTATTGAGTTATAATGTTGCCTTAAAATGATTTAAATAAATAAAAAATATTCTTGATGATTTGTTTTATGTAAGTTCTCATTCAGTAATCATAAATGTTATTTAGTTATTTTACAGTAACTTTAAGGTGGGGAGAGCAAAAGAAAATATTAAAAGAAAAGGAGAAAAATATGTTAAATCTTAGTGAAACTCTTTAATTGCCAAAAGTGTCTCTGAGTAGTGTGGTTGTATTACTATAATGAAGAGATAGCTGAAATAGTACTATTTAAATTATAGTTCATAGCCTGATGCCCATCTGAGAACTGGTCATTACTGGTCCATAGTTAGATAAATACAGAAATAATGAACACACATTTAGAAACTCTTTTAACAATTTGGTGTAGCCATGACATCCCATCACAGGATAAGTGAACATAGCAAACCAAAAATGTAGTCTGTGATGGATTGAATAAAGGAAATACTGATCTTTCATCAAGATAGTTTAAGAAAGCTTGCTTTAAATCAGAAATCAGACCCTCTCCAAATCATATCAATACAACTGCTTTGGGGACAGAAAGTTTATGTGGAAAATCTTTCTTTCTTAGAAAGGCCTTTCTTTTTTTTTTTTTTTTTTTTAAGATGGTGGTGCTGAGGATTAAACCCGGGGTCTCGCACATACTAAGCAAGCACTGTGTCACTGAGCTATACTCTCAGCTAACTTTCCTTATTGTTGGGTTTTTGTTTTGCAGTATTGGGGATTGATCCCAGTGTTACTTTACCACTTGCTGAGCTACATCATAGCCCTTTTTAGTTTTTGAGACAGGACTCTATAAGTTGCTCAGGTTGACCTTGAATTTGTGTTCCTCCTGACTCAGCCTCCCAAGTAGCTGGGATTACAGGCACGCACCATCACATCCAATTTAACCCTCCTTATTCTTTTTTGTTGTTGTTTTAATGGTGCTGAGGATTGAACCCATGACCTTGTACATGTGAAGCAAGCACTCTACCAACTGAGCTGTATCCCCAGTTCATAACTTCTCTTATTCTTGAACACAAATTTCTTTTTTGTATTTTCCCCATTAATTATTTATTTAGAATATACCTGTTTTCTCTCCCAACAGTTCAGCTTTTCAAGTATTGAAGGACCACTTTTCTGTGTCTCTAGGCCCTCTTTCCCAAACTAAACTTAGCCAGTTATCCTAATCATTTATTTTAGGATGTGGCTTCTAATCCTGCATATGCTCATTGCCCTCCTGCTTCTTTTCTTGGTTACCTGTGTCTCATCATGTTACCACCCCAGTTCTCCATCTTAAGAGATATAGTAGTTTGACTACTCATTTAATCTGTGCCTCAAATTTTCCTGTCTATAAGATAGAGAAAATAATGATCCTTAACTCTAGGTTTGTTGTGAAGATAGGCTAGTGCCCAGCTCACAGTAAGCATTATAAAAAGGATAGTTATGGTATAGTATTATAAAAATGATTGAATAAAATACACTTTATTTTAAAAAGTACCTGAAGTAGACATGGTCTGACTAGTGGCTCTGTTATATAGCAATGCTTCATGTTAAGCTAGTAATGAACAAATATTCTCTGATTATTTTCACATGAATTGTGTATGTTGTAAGGCCCTAAATTTGATCCCTAGCACTGTTTTAAGAAAAAGAAGAAAGGAGGAAAAAACCTAAATAGATACATAGATACTTTCTCCATTGCAAATTTGTTTTATTAGTTTTAGCCTATTCTAATCTTTCAACAGAATTTTTAGTTGGTTTTTTGTTTCTGTTTTTGTTTGTTTTTTTTTCTCTTGACACTAGGGATTGAACCCAGGGCCTCATGCATGGTAGGCAAGTGCTTTACCACTAAGCTATATCCCCAGCCCTTTTATTTTCTTTTTATTGACACAGATCTCACTAAGTTGCCTAGGCCGACTTCAAACTTGCAATCCCTGCTTTAGCCTTCCAAGTAGTTGAGATAACAAACAGGTGTGTGCTGCCGTAGCTGGCACATTTTATTTTTTGACCCAATCTAATTTTTTGTTTTTTATTAGGAAATCTTATCCCATTCATTTAAAACTAATAGATTTCTAACACATGTAAATAAATGTAATTTATTAAATTTCTAATACATTTACATTAAATATAACTAATACATTTATTAAGACTAATAAGAATTCCTAAAAGAAATAGGAAATTCTATTCCCTACATTTATTGTTAAAACTAATATATTTGGTCATCTAGTTCTATTCTGTTTTTGTTGCCCCCTTACTATTTCCTTTTTTTTGACCACATTTTGCTACATGGATAATATGTTTCTGTCTTTCTGAACCCCATCTATACCACTCTTTCTCCCAGCAGCATTCAGAACTGGAGAAAGGAGACTACCATTGCCTACCTCTGGAGATAGGCAGAATTAATTAAGATCTGTTCAAATCAAGGAACAGGACAGATGGTGGACAAATATGAGTCAAGCTGCAGTCAGTCAGAAAAAGCTCGGATATTATAATATGAGCTGAAGCATGTATAGATTTTCTTAATCCGGTTTGGTAATTTGTGTATTTCTTTACAAATTTAGGCATTAAATTCAGACCACATTTTTAGTTGTGTTTCTTTTTTTTAGGGAATATTTTAGTGAAAATTCAAGGAATCACATTGAGTGACACCAGGCAGAAACCATTTTGTACCAGAAAAACTTTTTTCTTTCTTTCTATCTTTCTTTTTTTTAACAGTTCTGGGGACCAAACCTATGCCCTTAAACATGCTAGAAAAGCACTCTACCAGTGAACTACATCTTTTGCCCAGTTTATTTTTATGTTTTAAAAAATTTTGTTCCTTCTTTCAGGTGAACTTCTGGATCCCTGTGGTCACATCAACCCTGAGTCTCCAATAATAGAACGTGGCTCTAATTTCACTGCAGTTTGTGTGCTAAAGGAAAAATGTATGGATTATTTTCATGTAAATGCTAATTACATTATCTGGAAAACAAACCATCTAACTGTTCCTAAGGAACAATATACCATCATAAACAGAACAGCAGCCAGTGTTACCTTTACAAATGTAGTTTCACCAAATCTTCAGCTTACTTGCAACATTCTTACGTTCGGACAAATTGAGCAGAATGTTTATGGAATTACAGTTCTTTCAGGATGTAAGTTTTGTTTTTTGTTTTTGTCATATTTCTGATTTTGTCATGACTATTGAACTACAGTTTTAGTGTTGTCCTTTAGAATTAAATTTATGAAATGGGGTAACTTGTGGGCTCAGTGACTTTTGGACATATTTTAAAAAAATAAGCATAGAAATAGGACCTACATTTTCATTAATGTTCAGATTCATAATGAATAACAGAGATTTTCTCTTGTTTCATGAAAGTCAAGCATTCTTCCAGTTTTCTAGAAAAATATTTTGGCTTGAGACCCTGACCCCCTAAAAATAGTTATTGTTGATTTTGAAGTCTGTGAATATATTCATAGTAACTTCCAGTATTCTTTAATTGCTGTGAAAATGCATATGTAAAGAAGCTCCCTGAAGGTAGTAAACAAATACTGGAGAAAGCACTTCTTTTTTTTTTTTTTTTTTTTTTTGCATTACAATTCTTAATACACATAGTAAAGAATGTAAGCTATGCTGGGCCTGGTGGCACATGCCTGTAATCTCAGTGGCTCTGGAGGCTGAGGTAGCTAGGCCCTAAGCAATTCAGCGAGATCCTGTTTCTAAAATAAAATATTTTTTAAAAAGGGCTGGAGATGTGACTCAGTGGTTATATGCCCCTGGCTTCAACCCATCTTACAAAAGAAAAGAATGTTAACTATGGTCCAAAAGCAGGTTACCAAATTTGCAGATCACTCCAACCATTAAAATTTCAGCATTTGTTTTTCTTCCAGTAGAGTTTGAGAAAACAGTAGGAACAGAAATATAAATGAATTATTTTGCTTCTACTTAATTGCCTGTTATTATTGATTTTTTAATCCAGTTATTAATGAAAGTTTATATATATATATATATATATATATATTTTTTTTTTTTTTTTTTTTTTTTGTAGTACTAAGGTTTGAACCCAGGAACTTATGTATGTGAGGCACCCTACCAACTGAGCTATATCCCCAGCCCATGAAAGTTGATTTTTATGTAGAAAATTAATGTGAAACAAACTAGTTAATGACAGCCATGATATAAAATATGTATTACTATCTATAATTGAGTTTTAAAGTTTTAATAGAAAGAAATTAACTTTTTAGTCACCAGTCTTTCATTATGTCCACAATTTTGTCTTGGGTTTGTTTTTCTATCTAAGGGGGTATATAAATTGGACAATGTTTGTGGATATAAAATATTTTTAAATGATCATTTCCTTTTAGTTCCCCCAGAAAAACCTAAAAACTTGAATTGCATTGTGAATGAAGGAAGAAAAATGATGTGTCAGTGGGATCCTGGAAGGGAAACGTACTTGGAAACAAACTTCACTTTAAAATCTGAATGGTAATTTATTTTAAGTTTGTCCTATGTTGGATGTATTAATTAGACATTATTACTGGAAGTTTTATTTTATCAAGCAATAATATTGAATCCAAAATTTTAAACAGTATGACTTTATTTTGGAATATCTCAAATATATATGAAAGTAGAAAGAATTTTATAATAAATTCCCATGGGTACCCATCACCCCACTTCAACAATGATAGCAATCGTGACCAATCTTACTTTACTTTTTCTACCCCATATTGTTTCCAAGAAAACATCAGACATATTCCATTCATAAATATTTCAGTACATAGCTCTAAAAGACAAGGCCTTTTAAAAAACATAACCACATACCATTGTTATACCAAAATAATTTAAAGTACTTTAAATGCTCAGTTAGTATTAATTACCTCAGCTATCGCATGGAATGTATATGTGTATGTGTATATATGTGTGTTTATGTGTGTGTCTGTTTTATATTTGTTTCAGTTGAGATCCAAATAAGCTCTATACATTGCAAATTGATATTTGTCTCTCTTAACCATAGATTCTATCTGCTTCCCGATTTTTTTCCGTATAATTCAGTTATTAAGAAAACTACTATACCTCATTGAACATATTCTCTCCTCACTAAAAAGTGCCAAGAGCTACAGATTTAATCAAATTTGGGTTTGATTATTTTTTCCCCAGAAACTATTTCATAGGAGGGATATACTTTCATGATGGAAGAACCACTTCATAGTGTTTTATTGAAATTTTTTATCTGATATTAAAATTGAGCATTGATTTCAGGTGTTATCAGCCTTATTCATTCTTTTTAAAGTTTACCATTAGGGTGTGGTTGCTTGTGCCTGTAATTCCAGCTATTCAGGAGGCTAAAACAGAAGGATCCTTAAGTTTGAGGCCAGCCTGGGCAACCTAGTGATACCCTGTCTCAAAATTTAAAAAGGACTGAGGGTTTATAGCTCAGTGTGTAAAACCCTGGGTTCAATCCCTAGCACCAAAAGAAATTTTTTAAATGAAACAAAAACTCCTTGTTGGTTTGTTTCAAACATAAAAAAGTTGAAAGAATTTTATAGTGAACACTCATACATACCCATTATCAATTAACATTTTTTGTATCTGCTTTATTACACATCTATTTATCTATATACATCCTTCTATTTGATTGATAGATATATAGATCTGTCAATTCATATTTTTTGTTAATACATTTCAAAGTATAGGCATTAGTAGTTTTTATTATTAAACATTTTAGTATATACATGATTAAATTATTTGTTTAACCATAAAAAAGTTTGAAAAATCATCTAGATTCTATAATTAACATTTTTCTGTATTTGCCTTATCTATTTATCTATGCCTCCTTCTCTCCATCTATTAATCCATCTCTTTTTGTTAACACATTTTAAAGCACAGGCATGGGTGTTTTTTAATCCTTAAACTTTTCAGTGTTTGCATGATTGAATTCAGTATTTGCTTACAGGTTTGATTTTGTTTTTTAGGTAAAATTTACATGTAGTGAAAAACACCGATCTGAAGTACATCCTTTAGTGAGTTTTGTTACACTCCCAAAAAGTTCTCTCATGCTCCTTCTCAGTCAATCCCAGTCACCACTCCACCCCATGAGGCCACTCCTTGTCTGAATTTCTTCACCATAGAGATTATTTTTGCCTGTTACCGAATGTCACATAATATGTAACAATACAGTATACACTCTTGTGAAAAATTTTTATGACTGAGTACAATGCATCTGATATTGAACCTTATTACATCCCATTACATCACTAAGTTCAAGCCTGAGAGACTTAGTGAGTCCCTATCTCAGAATTTAAAAAAAAAGAAAAACGGCTGGGAATATAGCTTACTGGTAGAGCACTTGGCTGACATGTGCAAGGCCCTGAGTTCAAACCTCAGTATGGAAAAAAAAGAAAATCAGAAACTGTAAATACCCACTAAAAAAATGTATCAAGTGAAGTTGTAAATGATTTTAAAGGATTCTCATGGAAGTTTGGAAAATCTTTAATATAGCAGTACAAGTTGGTGGAGAAGGATTTGCCAGTGTGCTTGCTAGAGAAGTAAGAAACAATATTGAAGGCCATTGAGATATATTAACAAATGAGGAATTAGAAGAACTTGTTCATTCCTCTACAAAGGAAAAAGATGAAGAAGAAACTGAAACAGAACCAGCAATGTAAACATTTCTGAAATTTGCTAAACTATTTTGAATTGCACAGACATTAAAGAACAAAATTATGTAATATAATCCCCAGATGGAATTAAAAGCACTTTTATGATCACCAAAGGATTACATTCTCTAACAACACTTTGATGAGTTAAAAAGAGACAACAATTTCCAATTATAATGTTCTTCCAAAAGGTTTCAGGGTTGGGGATACTTCCAACTATCAAGGATCCCCAACTATTGACATAATTTGCTCCAGACATCATCATGGTTTTATTATCTATGATCTTCTGAAAAAGATGATTCTTCTTCTGGCTTATTGTCAGAAGGACAGTAATATTCTAAGATTGCCTCACAATGCCTATATCATTCACCTTATTTTATCTTTATCAGGTGGGCATTATATCATCTCACATCATCACAAGAAAGATTAGTACCATAAGATATTTTGAGAGTCATATTCACATAACTATATTATATTGTTCTAATTTTTCTGTACTATTATTAATTTCTTCTATGCCTAATTTATAAATTAAACTTGTGTGTGTGTATATATATATGTATGTATATATAATGGGTAAAAACATACTGTAGATAGGAGTTAGTACTGTCTGAAGTTTCAGGCACACACTGAGGAGTCTTGAACTGTATCCCTTGTGGATGGAGCAGGACTACTTACTGTACTAGGATCACAAGGAAACTGATAATTTTTGGAGAAGGATCAATAAGAAATAGAGCATAAAATTCTAAAATACAATATTATTTGATTAAAACTTTGAAAATAATTTTGTCTTAAGATATAGAGTTTTATAGAAAAGCAGGCTTATTTTTAAGAAAAGTTACTTGATTTTAGTTATAAACTAAAACAAGTGTAAACTTTGCTGCTGCACAATCTGTCTCATCAATTTCTTTTCAAGTAACTTTTTTCACTACTTTTTTCAAACCTAGTTTTAATGACTAATTCTTTCTTTCTTTTTTTTTTAATTTAGGGCAACAGAGAAGTTTGATGATTGTAAAACGAAACCTGATACCCCCAACTCATGCCTTGTTGACTATTCTCCTGTGTATTTTGTCAACATTGAAGTCTGGGTAGAAGCAGAGAATGCCCTGGGGAACGTTACATCAGACCATATCAATTTTGATCCTATAGATAAAGGTAGTTATAAAACTGAATTTGAGAATTTTGTAGATTAAATAATGATTTATCAGTTATTTTTTTCAGATTTTAATTAATGTAGAAACAAGCATTTATTTAATTAATGTAGTGATTTTTACAAAGTCATTATATTGTCAATATTAAATATAATCATGGAAAAGAAAAGTAACCATAATCTAACCATACTAACAACTATTTTCACTTCAAATGTTATCTTTTTGTATTTGTCCCATTCTCTTAACGTTTTATACCATTGCAATCACAGTATACATGTTCCCTTGTTATTCTTTTCAAACTTTTGATTTATCATAAACATTTACTTGCTTTTGATATCTGAACCTGAAAAACATAATATACTAAACTGACAAGGAAAACTAGTTTCTTTAGAAATCTTTTCTTTCCATTTTATAATGTATCATCATACCATTTTCAGAGAAATTAGTTCATGTGCTAAAAATAAGTGAATCATGTAAAATAAAGAAAAATATAAAAAGAGTGTATTTGATTTTCTTTTTGAAGTTGTAAAAATAAAATGTGATCAATATCAGATTCTATTTTATTCTTTAGTGAAGCCTAATCCACCACGTAATTTATCAGTGAGCAACTCAGAGGAACTGTCCAGTATCTTAAAATTATCCTGGATCAATCCAAGTATTAAGAGTGTGATAAGACTGAAATATAACATTCAGTATAGGACCAAAGATGCCTCAACTTGGAACCAGGTAAATTGAAAGTTACTGTTTATTCAAATAGTCTTTTTTGAACCCTCTAACATAAAAGTCTCAATCATTTTCTGAATGTCTGATTTTCTGGTTATGTGAAATATTTTGCTTAACGACTGTTGTAGGTCTTTATTTCTAACAAGAGCAAACAGGAAGACATCCAGATAGAAAAATACAGCTATGCTGTGTACAGTAACCTTTAAATGAAATATGGAAGTGATGAAGGGTGACAGGAAAGAGCATTTTTGATGGTAGGTAAAAGGAACATAAGTAATAAGAAGCAAATTAAGTAGAGGAACAAAAATAAATGGATTACAAGGATGAAGGTAGAGCAGGTGTTGGCATATTACAGTTTGCAAACAAAGTTCAGCCTGCCATCTGATTTTACAAATAAAGTATTATTGGAACACAGCCACACTCATTCGTTAACATACTGTCTTTTTATGCAAAAAATGGAAAGAGTCAAGCCCTTGCAACAGAGACTCTCTGGCGCTTAAGGCTGAAATAACTTACAGGCTGGGGTTGTGGCTCAGTGGTAGAACATTCGACTGACACACTTGAGGCACTGGGTTTGATGGTTTGATCCTCAGCACCACATAAAAATAAATAAGGTCAAATAATTTACTATTTATCCCTTTATAGAAAGTTTGCCAACTTCTATGGTGGGTGCTGGGGGTGGTGGTGAAGGGTCTTGGCAAAAGAGAGAAGGGATAAAAGAAAAATTAGATCATCATGTTTATTTCCCCTGCTTTCTCCACCTAAGGTTGTGCCCATCAAGGCAGCTCTCTCTATCTGATCCTCTTCTTTCAGGCTTCGGTGCCTTGCCTTTTCCCTGTGGCCTTTAGAGGTGGTAATAGCTATAAGCTCCAGAGTGTTAACTACACTAAGAAATCCCTATACTTTTGACCATAGTTCTTTTACATAACCCTCCTTGAATTCATTCTAACTGGGGTGTACCATCTATTTCATACTGAGATCCTGAGTAGGAGGGAAAAAGAGGAAGGAGGGAGAAGGAAAGAAATTAAACCCAATAACATTTACTGATTTTGACTTGCATTTATTTCTCCTCAGAGGTTGAGTTTAATTTGTTAGTCTTACTGTTTTCTGAAATTGTATACAATTTAGTCCTAATTTGTTGGCGATTTGTTCCTGTTGTTGCTGAATTTGCTTTATTTTCAGATTCCTCCTGAAGATACAGCATCTACCCGGTCTTCATTCACTGTCCAGGACCTTAAGCCTTTTACAGAATATGTGTTTAGGGTTCGCTGTATGAAGGAAGATGGTAAGGGATTTTGGAGTGATTGGAGTGAAGATGCAAGTGGGATCACATATGAAGATAGTAAGTAAATAAATGAGGATATAAAGCTAGTAGAATTCTGTCTGTGAATCATGTCTGGTTTTAATAACAGATCTCATTGCTTCTTATTTTATGATCATTCAAAATAAAGTGTCATACTTTTTTTAAGGATATTGAGATAGATGATTTAATATGCATTATTGATAGTTTATTTTATACTTCAACTGTCATGGGAAGGTACCTTAAATGCCATCAAAAAACCTTTACTTAACTGTTGATAAGTACAGAACATTTTATTCAGAGTGATCCAGCAATACCCCTAACTAGAGAAAAGATATTTATATCTTTCATTCATTTATTTCTACCAGCACTTGATAAGTCCCTGGAAATCAAGTGATCTGGGATCTGAATTGGTTGATTTTCATTTTTTCCCCCTCATGGATAATAGAAGATGTATAGTGTAGAATACAGTAGGATGTAAAGTCTAGAGTAAGACTTCCTGCACAAAGCGTTAACATTACTGAGTCTTTTGTGTGGCCATCAAGCAATAATAGATTGCTTATAGGCGTATAGATTTTTCATTTTGAATCTTTTCCTATTGCAGTTTTCACTCTTCAGTTGTCAGCAACAGCAGCTATGGCTTATCTGTATCCCTTCGCTTCCAACTGTGTTAAAGGTTTAGGTCATTGTGTGAATTGAGAATGTCAAAAGTAACCTTCTCCCTTCAGAATTTATTCTCTCTGCTCTCAGAAATGCCAGGTTAGCAGTCTTGCTATTTGCTGATTTGAGAGTCCTCAGATTCCTTTGACTTGACCAGGAATTAGATTCTTCGGACCTTTATAGAGTTACATGGATCCTTTGGGGAAGTTCATGAAGCACTTCAAAGTGCAGGCAAAATTATTGTGTGGTTAGCATATGCATCTCCCTGGGGTGAGGGTGTATAATCTTAGATAAGAGATCTTTGGAGCCAAGAACATTATGAACCTTTGGACAAAGTTTTTCCTAAGCTTAAAGAATGAAGCCTCTAGTTTCTCTTGACGTTAGAAAATATTTCTGGCCCATAAATTTTTCTTTATAATTTCATGTTCTTTATTTTGTTTGGGTGCTGCAGCAGACTTGTGTATATGTCTATGTGAACCTCTTAGGCTGAGCCTTTTCCCCAGCTTTCCTGACCTGTTTGTTCTATTCTCTATTTTGTCATGTATCCGTATATCTTCATGGCCAGGATATCACTGCTCAGGTTTTACTCTGATTGTGACTTTACTCTGTTGAATACTGGGCTTATAATTATACTTACCAGATTTTTGAAATATCAGATACAGGAATGTTTTTAAACCTAATTACAGTGATCCATCCTTATCTGTAGTTTCACATTCCATGGTTTCAGTTTTCCATAGTCCAAAGATACAAGATGGAAAATTCCAGAGAAACACTTAATAAGTTTAAAATAACTATTATTACTACATATTGTTATTTATTGTTGTTGATCTCTTACTGTGCCCAATTTCCAAATTAAAATCTATCATTATTACGCATGTTTGTATGTATAGAAAACAGCATATATGGAATTCAGTACTGTCCAGAGTTCCAGGCATCTACTGAGGTTCTTAGAATGCATTCTCTGCAGATAAGAGATGGCTACTATATTGGTACTTTACACTTTTTTTTTTTTTTTTTTTTGGAGGTACTAAGGATTGAATCCAGGAGCATTCTACCTCTGAGCTACATCCCCAGCCCTTTACATTTTTAATTTCCAGACACGATTTTGGTTAAGTTGCCCAGGGTTGCCTTAAACTTCCAATCCTTCTGCCTCAACCTCCCAATTGACCAGTATTACAGGCATGCACCACATGCCTGGTAGTATTTGATACTTATATTCTTCTATCTCTTTGATATCCCAACATAAAGCAATAAACTTTTGTGACATTTCCTACATTTAGTTTCTTTTTATATTATGTTTATATACTTAGAGGTTTTAGACATATTTTAGGCATATATTTGTATATTTCTGTATGATTTTTCAATTTGATAATTAACAATAAATAGTATCAGTTGATTTTTATCATGTATACACACACTGTTTTTTTTAATTGGGGGGGGGGCAGTGCTAAGAATCGATCCCAGTGTCTTGCCCAGTGAGCAACTCCAGGCCTGTATTTTCTTTTTTAAAAGTCATTAGTATTGACTAATTTTTTAAAAGTATTATAATTGTAAGATATGGTATTCAACAGAACAAGAAAAGATTTAGAATAAGTTAAGCAATAATGTGTTGATCATGAAGAGGCAATTATAAATGACAAAGCAGAGAAGAGAGGTTAGGCAGATCAGGAAGGCTGGGGGAAAGGCTGTCAGCACAGAGATTAACATGATTGTACATGTTATACATGTATAGAGCAGCATCTGAGCAGAATAAAGAACATGAAATTGTAAGAAATAAATAATGACATCTTTTGGTTATTGCTTAGAACACATTTTTATCTTTATAATTTTGAGGTTAGAAAAAGTTTCTTTAATCTGTAGCTAGGCTCGGTGGTATAGGCCTGTCCTGTAGTCCCAGCTACTTAGGAGGCAGAGGCAAGAAGTTTACTTGAGCCCAGGAGTCCAAGGCCAGCCTGGGCAACATAGCAAGACCCTATTTCAAAAAAATAAATTAAATAAAATTATTATCTAAATCATCAAGCTATTACCATGTCTAAAGGAAAACCCAGATATATCTTGATGGGATGGGAAAATGCTGTGAAGAGCTAGACACATCATGAGATGAAAGGGAAAGAATATTAAGAACAAAGTAAGAGAATAATTTACAGGATTTTATTATATTCAGATAAAAATATTTTAAATTTTTGTGTTTTCTTTAGGACCATCCAAAGCACCAAGTTTCTGGTATAGGATAAATCCATCCCATTCTCTTGGCTATAGATCTGTACAACTTATATGGAAGGTAAAAAAAAAAAAAAAAAATTCTATTTTTTATCTCTCTTATAGGTATATTTTAATGTTATTATTGGTATAAGTTTTTTAATACTTAATTTTTATTCATCTTAAGATCAGCAAAGCATTTGATATTTTTAACAAAGCTTTATGTAGGGATTAAGTTCATAAACTGCAAATAATATCTCATTTGTTATTTCAGCACAGTTCTATGAAAGTGTAAAACCTACAAGAGGTACCCTTTTGTATACTTTATTGAATTTACCAGGGTGCCTCATAGAAAGCAATAAAGGTTTGCAGTAATCAAAATGTATTATAATAAGTTGATATGTGTACATGAGTACATCATACTAAAAAGAGTAGGGAGAAAATACCCAAGTATAAATAATATAGACCAACATAGCATAATGCAGAATTCTGTGCAGAACTGGAAGCTAACTGAAAAATGGTACGTCCCCTTGTTCAGTTGAGCTTCATTCTTTTACTCTTCATCCAGTGGATAGTGGTATTACTTTAGTACTGACTGCAAAATAAATTTACCAGTTTCTTCCAATTAAATGTTTAGAGGTTTGATATAATGGTAGAATTTGTGAATATAAAAAAGTAATTATTCAATATTTATGAAACTTTTAAAAATAATATTTTATTACAGACATTGCCTCCTTTTGAAGCCAATGGGAAAATCTTGGATTATGAAGTGACTCTTACAAGATGGAAATCACTTTTACAAAATTACACAGTTAATGACACAAAATTGACAGTAAACCTCACAAATGATCGCTATAGTGCAACTCTGGCAGCCAGAAATCTAGTTGGCAAATCAGATGCTTCCATTTTAACTATCCCTGCCTCTGACTTTCAAGGTTTGTGTCTGTAAAATGGAGTCTGGATCATGGATGAAAAGAGTGGTTAGGTATAGATAAGGATCCTGTAAAAACACAAATGAATTAAGATTACCTGAGTATCAGAGATGATGGTATTTTCAGAAATCAGTCAGAAAGCAGATTTCTTTAGAATGCATGGAATGACTTCCCATCCCCATGTAACTCATTTAGACTTTTTAGCATGCTGTTCAGCTCATTTAAGCATTTTCTGATTGATTAACCTAATTTTAAAAATATTTAAGGTTTTGAGAAGTTTCTATGCATATATTGTTTATTGGTGGTTTTCAGAGAAGAAAAAAGTTGAAAGTTGCTGTTACAAACTTGCATACACAAAATATTTAAAGAATTTAAGGAAAACAAGAATTTTTAAAGATCAGTTGACATGTAAGTTAAAAGAAAGGGCTTTTTATTCATGGAAATAAATGTTATGTCCTACAAAACATGATAAATTGCATTTAGAAATGACTATAAGAGATTGAAGTTTGAAATCACGAATGTTCATTCATTGTATTGACATCAAACTTTGTTTTAAAGCTACTCACCCTGTAACAAATCTGAAAGCGTTCCCCAAAGATAACATGCTTTGGGTAGAATGGACTGCTCCAAGTAAATCTGTAAAGAAATATATACTTGAATGGTGTGTACTGTCGGATAAATCACCCTGTATCCCAGACTGGCAGCAAGAAGATGGTACTGTGCATCGCACCTATTTAAGAGGTATACCTGGCTAGAAACATCTAAGTTGATATCCTTTTTCTAATGCATTTAGACAGCTTTTTCTTTTGCATATTCTTTTCTGGCTTATACGCATTGTAGTCCATTGAAAAGAACCAATTTAGCATAACCCTACTAATTACTAGATGTGTGACTATCAACGAATAACATTTAACCTCTCTGAACTATGGACAGAATAGGGGTAATACTGTCTTTTTGGCTTTTTATACCCAAATATCATTCTTATCACCACAAGAACACTCACAAAACTGTAAAAAAGTATAAAATAATCTAGTCTTGAGTACTGATTGGTTGTGTATTCTCTGCATCTGACTTAACTCTTCATTCTTCCAATGAGAAAATAGTTCCTTATAGCCTTTGGATGACTTGCTGAACTTCTTAGAGCCATAGATTAGGGTAGTCCAACCAGAATGCAGGTTTCCTTGTACCTTTTAATTTTAACTGCTAACACAGAACAGAAAACAATGTGTTTTGTTTGGGGTTATTGAGTTGTTGTTTTTGTTGTTTGCGGTGCTGGGGATTGGACCCAGGGCCTGGCGTATGCTGGGCAAGCCCTCTACCACTGAGCCACATCCCCAACTCCAAAACATAATAGTTTTGTAGCATTCCAAACAGAATTATTCTGTGTGGTGAGTAACTACTTATGTGGCTGTAATATATAATGGCTATGAAGAGAAAATAAAAACATTCAGTGAGTATGTGCTTTTTTAATAAAGAAGGGAATAATCATTACACTTAACCTGTAGATAATATCAGAGAAAAGCCCTAAGCAGAGAGAGAACCTGCCATAAATTTTTTTGAGCTTTATTCATTAGGTAGGTTGTTTGGATTTTACTAACCTATTATTTAATGTACAGTTTAAATATGCCTGATTGTCTAGTTTATCAACCTTATTGAATAAAAGCAATGGTGGAACCAAGGAGAAGACAGATTGGAAATAACTAGACCTAAGAAGCTTAAAAAGCCTAGTGTAGGTTCTGGAGACATCAGGGTTTCAAGGCTCCACAGGCCTGAAAGCATCACTATCACAGTAGACTTTAAAAATAGCGTATTTCTTGATAATGTGGTCTCTTCAAGAAAAGGTAAAATTACTCTGTGTAAGAAGGCAAATGTGCATATAACTTTATGAATAATAGTTAAGGAAATACAAGTTCTTGTTGAAGATAAAAGCTTCAATATCAAACACCATTTTCTTTTGTGTGTGTGTATGTTTGCATATCTTTTTAAAATTTTTATTAATTTTTTATATATGACAGTGGAATGTATTACAATTCATATTACACAAACAGAGAACACTTTTTCATATCTCTGGTTGTATACAAAGTATATTCACACCAATTTGTGTCTTCATACATGTATTTTGGATAATGATGTCCATCACATTCCACCATCATTTCTAACCCCCTGTCCCTCCCCTTCCCCTCTCACCCTTCTGGCCTATCTAGAGTTCGTCTATTCCTCCCATGCTCCCCCTCCCTACCTCACTATGAATCAGCCTCCTTATATCAGAGAAAAGAACCGGCATTTGTTTTTTTGGGATTGGCTAACTAACTTCACTTAGCATTATCTTCTCCAATTCCATCCATTTACCTGCAAATGCCATGATTTTATTTTCTTTTATTGCTGAGTAATATTCCATTGTGCATATATGCCACATTTTTCTTATAACCACAGTTTCTTTATCCATTCATCTATTGAAGAGCATCTAGGTTGGTTCCACAATTTAGCTATTGTGAATTGTGCTGCTATAGTCATTGATGTGGCTGTGTCCCTGTAGTATGCTGTTTTTTAAGTCCTTTGGGTATAGACCTAGGAGAGGGATAGCTGGGTCAAATGTTGGTTCCATTCCCAGTTTTGCAAGGAATCTCCATACTGCTTTCCATATTGGCTACACCAATTTGCAGTCCCACCAGCAATGTATGAGTGCACCTTTTTCCCTACATCCTTACCAACACTTACTATTGTTTATATTCATAATTGCTGCCATTCTGACTGGAATAAGATGAAATCTTAGAGTAGATTTGATTTGCATTTCTCTAATTCCTATGATGAACACTTTTTCATATATTTGTTAATTGATTATATATCTTCTGAGAAGTGTTTATTTAGGTCTTTGGCCCATTTATTGATAGAGCTATTTGTTTTTTTGGATAAACACTATTTTCTGATGTGGATAGATAATACACTGTATAAAAAGGGAAAATTTCATTCTACATACTAAAAGAATAGATTACTTTGATAATTTGAAGAGATTATTAATAAAAGAAATCTGCATTTAAGATAACTTTTTCTTTTAAATTACAGGGGAAATTATCACTTTTTTTTTTTAATTTTTTTTTTTCAACTTACCTGAGAAGCCATAACTCTTAATGCTTTCCCTTAGGTCTATTAGTGGCATCTTGCTCATTAGGCAGTTCTCAAAATTAGGTAAGATATGAGTTGTCAAACTAAGTAAGATTTAGAAGAATTTGAGGTCAGTGTTTTATAAGTCCTGAATGTAAATATAATAATTGTTTTTATTAACAATATAAGTAGTTTTATATACTGTATTGGCAATAAAAGTAATATTGACTTTTTATGAACAGTTTTACCCTTAAGCTTGAGTCCCATAAATAAAAGATAATGCTTACTTAGAAAACTGCCATTTTAAAGGAAAATGTAATGATAAAGAAATTATAATGTGAAAATAGATAATAGAATTAATTTGTATTTTTCATTATCAAAAAAATGCTTAATCTGCTATTCTTACTTTAGGGAAACTAATGGAGAGCAAATGTTATTTGATAACTATTACTCCAGTTTATGCCAATGGACCGGGAAGCCCTGAATCTACAAAGGCATACCTTAAACAAGCTCGTAAGTCCACACTCACTTTCGTTGAAGAATGTTGTTTAGTTTTAACAAAGACCTTTTATCATTTTTAAGTAAGGATACTTCTCATGATATTCAAATAATTTTAGTTAGTTTCTAAATTCTGTTGCTTTGTAGTTAGCAAATACATTTATTCTGTTATAGCACCTTCCAAAGGACCTACTGTTCGGACAAAAAAAGTGGGGAAGAATGAAGCTGTCTTAGAGTGGGACCAACTTCCTGTTGATGTTCAGAATGGATTTATCAGAAATTACACTATATTTTATAGAACCATCATTGGAAATGAAACTGGTAATAATAAAACTGTATCAGTTACTAAGAATTATATTTTTTTCTTAAGCTATTAAATACTAATTTCTCATCTTGCTGCATTATCCATCTTTTTATTTCATATATTTTATTGTTGTTTACATATATTATTTTTTGAAGACACTTGAGAATATGTCATGCTTGTTCATGGCTTTATTTAAAAATTATTACATCGTGCTTAAGGAAGAATATTATGTCAGAGTTATAAAGGTTGTTTTCTGAGAAAATGTTTTTATTACTTTTAAACATTTTTACCTAACAAATATAGAACAAAGCAAAACCATTGAATTATTTTTTAAAAATATTTTAAGTTGTAGTTGGACACAACACCTTTATTTTATTTATTTATTTTTATGTGGTGCTGAGGATCAAACCCAGGACCTCGCACATGCTAGGCAAGCGCTGTACCACTGAGCCACAACCACAGCCCCCAAAATGTTGAATTATTGGATAAAGCTGTTTTTTATTTCTTCCAGCTGTGAATGTGGATTCTTCCCACACAGAATATACACTGTCCTCCTTGACCAGTGACACATTGTACATGGTACGGATGACAGCATACACAGATGAAGGTGGAAAGGACGGTCCAGAATTCACTTTTACTACACCGAAGTTTGGTAAGAAATGATGAATTGTTTTTTCTTATTTTATCTTGTTTTAAAATTAAACAGACTAGAAATGGGATTACTGTGCTAAAATTTTGTTTAAAAGTACACCTTTAGCCGATAGGGGTATAGCTCTGTAGTGCACAGAGCCCTGGGTTTGATCCCTAGCACAAAACAAAACAAAATAATGTACCATTGGATTCATAAAATGAAGTGTTCATAAATTATGATTTTTATATTTATATGGTTTAGATGTTTCTTTTAACTATAGGGAATGTTATTCCTGACCTTTTTGGTGTTACACTGTTTCTGACTAAATTCACCTATACTCTGAATCCCACAAGAACTTGCATATCCCCCTCAGTGGATTCATCTTTTTCCACTGGATTAGTTGTTATAGTTTTTCCTCTTCTCTTCTCTTGTTCCTTCCATTTATAATCAGGTTGCTTGAAAAACTAGTGCACCTTGGAATCTCCACTAGTACCTCCAGCTCAGTCACTAGAAGCAGGCTTCCCACTCCACCACTGTTCTGAAACCTCTCTGGTGTTCTCATCGAAGACCTTAGACATCATATCCAGTGCATACTTTTTAAACTTTACCTTTTTTCCATTTTATTTATTATAGGATCTATTTGGCCTTTCCATTCTTGAAATTCCCTCCTCCCCTGGTTCATCCAATCATATCTTTCTTTGTTTTTCTACTAGCACTCTCCTGAATCTCCCTCCTCTCTGGCACCGTCCCTCTTGTTCTTTTTCTGTTCAGCCTTTACATCATTTATTCCCCAAAACTCTGTTCTTTGCCAATTTCTTTATCTGCCTATTCATACTCCCTGTCATGAGTAAACCATCCTCTTTCCGTCTTGAATACATTTCTCTTTCTTTGTTCCAGGCCACAATCATCCAGCTCTGCCAAAACAGAAATTTAGATGTGATTACAAAAAATTTCTTTTTTCCCTCCTTGACACCAAGTGTCAAGTTCTGCCAGTTATACCTAATTATTGCTGGCCCATGTGCTTTCAGAAGCAGCAGCTTGCTCCAACTGCAATCTCCTCGTTATTCTGTCCAACTTTTCACCTTTTCCTGCATTGTCCTAGTGTGGATCCTCCTCTTTTCTTGTTTTTATTGTTCCTGTAGCCTTCCAAAAGAACACTTAAATGCATTCTTTCTTGTTCCAACTATTTGAATTATTATAGAAATTACCTTATTTTCTTGAATTGTATTTGTGGCTCTCACCCCTCAAATGCTTCAATAAGGGGAATGATAAATAGCAATCTACATGTTCCTCATTAGTTCATTGATTGCTGAATGAGAAAATAAATGATGAGTGACTACATAAAATACATAATAAAAGGTCCTGAGCATTTCTATTAGGGCTAATAATGAATATAGTTTTGAGGATAAGGTTTGTCCTGTATTGTGACATGTTAATAGATATATAGTGAATGATACTTGAAATAAAGCATTGAAAAAAATAATAAGACTTGAAAAATATTTTCCCTAATTACAAAAGTAATGTTCATTATAGGGAATATATACAGTAAAATACAAAGAGGAAGAAAAATTATTCTTAATCCCTCATTTATAAATAATCTAACATATAATTTAGTTGAAGAAACATGGCAAAAGTTAAAAAAAAATATACTGGGTTATGTGAGTAGGAGTTTAACGATTGTACGGGGATTTTCATCTTTAGAGAAGAGTTCATGGAAAAGGCAATGCTGGAGCCTTAAGTTTAGGATGTGGACAATTGGGAAAAAGAAGATGTCATAGAGTGGCACAAACAAATGTCCAAGGCATGAAAACATAAAAGCCATTTTTTCTGTGCCAGTCTGCGTGCCTCATGAGCATCTTTTCTAAAATTCTCAACTCTATATCCAGTATATTATCTTTTTGAAAATAACTTACAATTTTTACCTCAATTCTATTTTTTATTAATTTTTTTAGTTGTAGATGGACACAATACCTTTATGTAATTTATATGTGATGCTGAGGATTGAATCCTCATTCTAGCCAGGCAAGTATTTTACCACTGAGCCATACCGCAGCCCTCAATTGTATTTTTATTCCTTATAAAAAAGTTAAATTTGTTGTTGAATTGTTTCATAGCTTTTGCAGTTCTACCCAGTGTTCATATTCAGATATAATTTTTCCATTTTATGGTGATGAACATTAAAATATTAAGCTTTTGCTAAGATTCTGAGTGCAGATCATAATTATAATGAATGGTTAGGTTTGAAAGCTTTAACAGACCAGATATATTGTCTTTTGAGTCATTTTATTCCCCCAACCAACATGTATTTTATGCTTACTACCTGGTCATGGTACTATGTAAGGAGAAATTGTTAGGATATGATTTAACAAGGAGGGAAGGAACACTTTTAAAGTTCAAAAAGACTGAAAAGTCAAGAAAGTACTTTATCTATTCAACAGGCATTGGTTGGGAGGTTGTATTATTTCCCTTTTGTATGTGTGTCAATTATTTCTCATCACAATCTTTCCTTTTTTTTAGCTCAAGGAGAAATAGAAGCCATAGTCGTGCCTGTTTGCTTAGCATTCCTGTTGACAACTCTTCTGGGAGTATTGTTCTGCTTTAATAAGAGAGACTTGTAAGTACCTATATTCATAGTTTTGTATTTCCCCCAAGCATTATTGATCTATAATTTACATATAATAAAATTCATCCATTTAAAAAAAATTTTTTTTAGTTGTAGATGGACACAACACCTTTATTGTATTTGTTTATTTTTATGTGATGCCGGGGATCAAACCCAGTGCCTCACTCATGCTAGGCAAGTGCTCTACCACTGAGCCACAACCCCAGCCCCTAAAATTCATCCATTTTTAGTTTACGGTTTGATGAAAGTTTGCAAAAGTGCACAGATGTATAACATTTCCATCACCCTAAATTTCTTCATTGTTTATTCTTATCTTCCTCCCTCAATCCTTGACCTCAGGCAATTACTAATCTGTAACTATAGGTTTGCCTTATTTAGAATTTCATGTACTTGAAATCAAACAGCTTGTAGCCCTTTGTGTGTGATGTCTTTCACTTAACATTTTTGAGATTCATGTTGTTGCATTTACTTCTTTTCTCCTTTCTATGGCTGTATAGTATTCTGCAGTATGGATATGTTAAAATTTATCCATTTGTTATGGAAGTTTGGTTGTTTCTAATCTTTGGCCAACATGTATAATAATGTTGTGAACATTCATGTGCAAAACTTTGTATGGGCATATATTTTCATTTATCTTTAATAAATAACTATAATTGGGAGTGCTGGGCTATATGGTAAGCCTATGTTTAACTTTGTAAGAAATTGCTAGACTTTTTCAAAATGGCTACACCATCTGGCATTCCCACCAGCAGTGTTCCGTACCATCACCAACACTTGATTCTGTCAGTTTTTCATTTTAGTGGTTGTATAGTATTGTCTCATTATGGTTTAATATCCATTTCCTTGCTGACTATTAATGAATCTTCTCATATGTCACATATCTTCTTTTGTGACATGTCTGTTTGAAGTTTAAAAACTTAAGACGATTTGTTAATATTGAGCTGCAAGAGTTCATGCTCTCATTACAAAGTTTTTACCAAATGTGTTTTGCAAATTTTTTTCCCAGGCTGTACATTGCCATTTTGTTCGCTTAACTGTGACATTAAAACAGCAGAAGTTTTTAACTGTGAAATCCATTTTGTTTCCTGCATTTTGTGTCATGTTTAAAAAATCTCTGCCTGACCCAGTGTCAAAAATGTTCTCTCCTGTGTTTTCTTCTAGAAGTTCAGTAGTTTTCACTACCATGTCTACAATTTATTCCTAGTTAATTTTTGTGCACGGTGTGAGTTCAGGGTCAAGGTATATTTTTATCCCACAGATACCTAACACCATTTATTTTTATAAGATTATTGTTTTGCTAGTGAATTGCCTTGGCACCTTTTCTAGAAATCATTAGTCTGGACATAAAGGTTTATATCTATTTCTGGGCCCTCAGTTCTGTTCCATTTCACTCTGTGTCTATTCTCATGCCAGTACCACACTGTCTTGTCTTTTTTGTAAAAAAAAAAAAAGAGAGAAAGAAAATCGATCATATTTTGTATCAGTGAATACTGATAATTGGAAATTATACATTTTTTGCTTTTAATTTTGTTTTGGCTAAATTAAATTTTTAAGTGATTTTATTGCAGGATATCAGAGACTTTAAATTGAATACTGATTGAGTTTAGCCTTATTATTGTTTTTCATTGTGAATACATTAAGATCCGTATATATTTTAACAGTATTTATCCATATATATTTTAACAGTATATTTCTATTTGTCACAAAAAAAACAATTTGTTTAGCATTGGGGTAAAGTGTAGGTATGTTTTGTTCTTTAGTTAATTGATTTGCTTCTTAATAGTTTTAGATGACCAGTTCAGAAAGAAAGAGAATATTAGTTGTTTATTACATGTGGTTCTACATATGCCTTTTTTTTCTCTCTCTCTTCAGAATTAAAAAACACATCTGGCCTAATGTTCCAGATCCTTCAAAGAGTCATATTGCCCAGTGGTCACCTCATACCCCTCCAAGGGTAAGATAAAATGCATCTGATTTGTTTATAATGCAGAGATATATTAGGATACATTTATAGAGTTTAACCAAAAGATAATCACGCTGAATCAAAAAAGTAAATGTGTCAGGTGCAGTAGCATGCACCTATAATTAGCTGCTCAGAAGACTGAGGCAGTAGGATCACAAGTTTGAGTCTAACCTTGTCTCAAAATAAAACACAAAACGGCTGGTGATGTGATAGAGTGCCCCCTGAATTCAATCCCCAGTATAGGAAAAAAAAAAAAAAAGTAAATGAAAATAATATAGTATGTAGATGAATGTTACAGTCAAAATTTTAAATAACAACTGCTTTCTGGGGTTCATTTCATAGCATATTTGATATTTCTAATTCTGTTCAATAAACATTACAAATATTTGATTAAACTTGCAAACTGAAAACTTGAAGTGCTAAAACTGCCAATGTGAGAGAAACTGTTATGTGAGCATTCAGGATTGGATTTGATATTTAAATCTGGTTTACCAATCTACTGTTTTAATACTGATGAAATGATTTCTACACTAAATTCTTCAAACTAAAAATATGTCCTAGGTGCTGGGACTGTGGCTCAATGGAGGTGCACTTGCCCAGCATATGTGAGGCACTGGGTTCGATTCTCAGCACCACATAAAAATAAATAAAATAAAGGTCTGTCAATGACTAAAAAAAAAAAAAAATTTTTTTAAAGTCCTAAAGGGCAAGTTGTTTGCATTTATTATCCTCTAATAATCCCTGAGTTTTTATATTAACAAATTAAAGATGTGTTGTATATTTTTTACCTTTTATAAAACCTTACCCATTGAAGTTGTTTTGTTTTCTTTGTACTAGGAATTGAACCCAGGGATGCTTTACCACTGAGACACATCCCCCAGTCCCCCTACACACCATTTTTTTTTTTTTTTTTTAAAGATAGTCTCTCTCTAAATTGCTGAGGCTGGCTTTGAACTTGAGACCCTCTATCTTAGCTTCCTGGATCACTGGGACTATAGGCATGCACTATCATATCCAGCCTGATTTTTCTTGTTTCCTAGTTTTGTTTTGTTTTTTTAAATCCATTTAATCCTAGGCTGCCTGCTCTAAGCACAAAATACTAAATGTTATTTTTAGACCATTAGCTATCAAAATTTAACACCAACAGTATTGATTTAGAAATACTAAGAAACTTATTCATTAGCTCATTTTACATAACATTATCTGCAATTTGGATAGTTGACAGTCATTTAGTGACATTAATTCCACACCAATGAAAGTTATTGAGAAGTTTCAGAGATGTATTAACTGAGTGTTATGGCAAAAGTAATAATCCACTTTTTCTCTTTACTAGCACAATTTTAATTCAAAAGATCAAATGTATTCAGATGGAAATTTCACTGATGTAAGTGTTGTGGAAATAGAAGCAAATGATAAAAAGCCTTTTCCAGAAGATCTGAAATCACTGGACCTGTTCAAGAAGGAAAAAATTAGTACTGAAGGACACAGTAGTGGTATTGGGGGGTCTTCATGCATGTCATCTTCTAGGCCAAGCATTTCTAGCAGTGATGAAAATGAATCTACACAAAACACTTCAAGCACTGTGCAGTATTCTACTGTCGTGCATAGTGGCTACAGACACCAGGTTCCATCTGTCCAGGTCTTTTCAAGATCTGAGTCTACCCAGCCCTTGTTAGAGTCAGAGGAGCGACCAGAAGATCTACAGTTGGTAGATAATGTAGACAGCGGTGATGGCATTTTGCCCAGGCAACAGTATTTCAAACAAAACTGCAACCAACCTGAAACCAGTCCAGATATTTCACATTTTGAAAGGTCAAAGCAAGTTTCATCAGGCAACGAGGAAGATTTTATGAGACTTAAACAGCAGCAGATTTCTAATCATAATTCACAGTCCTCTGGATCTGGCCAAATGAAAATGTTTCAGGAAGTTTCTGTAGCAGATGCTTTTGGCCCAGGGACTGAGGGACAAGTAGAGAGATTTGAAACAGTTGGGATTGAGGCTGCAATTGATGAAGGGATGCCTAAAAGTTACTTACCACAGACTGTAAGACAAGGTGGCTACATGCCTCAGTAAAAGACTAGTTCCTTCAACTTCAACACCTATGAAATAAAGCTAAAAATATTTTGTCTGTGACTTCAGATACAAAACAATCTTCACTCCCTGAAGATGATCATTTGCCCTGAAGGACAAAAATCTCACCGGAACTGTTTTCATTCCAGAACAACTGGGATTTTACTTTAAGCACTACAGAAACTGACTTTATCCTCTGAATAGCTGAATGACTTTGTGCTCTTTTACAATGTTTGCACTGAAGAAAAACAGAAAGCTTATCTGAACTTTATGGAATTAAACTTTGTGTTTTACTTTACATAGAAAATAGTATTTACATAATGAGCAGCAATCGAAGAGTCATACTGATTTTGATGAGAATAATCATCAAAAACAAGTGGCTTAGGAATAGTTAATGTAAAAAAAGAGGAGCAAGATCTAGATCCTTTACTTCATCTGACATCATAATTTAAAAAGAGGTCCATAGGGCATGACTATCTGAGCCCATCTATTGAGGTCTCACAAAAGAAATGGTGGGGGTATTCATTTATAGGACACAGAATATACTTCAGTTCCCTTATGTAGGTAATGATGCTGTCAAATGTTACTGGAGAAAAGGAACTCCAGAGCTCTAACTTGGCAGATTAAAAATATTTTTAATATTATATAATCAAGATCTTACTAAATTTAAAAAATTACTAACATCCTCTTTTAAGATCCATTTCACAAATTAAGCAGAGGGCCCTTATAAGAGCTAGGAATAAACATCACAAACTGTCTCAAGAATCTTAAAAATTGTTTGTCATTTTTAAGACAAATTAACATTTTATATATATATGTGTGTGTAAACATCATTGACCCTTGTTAAAACTTCACAGAATTTGGTTAACTCAGAGCACTTTGTATAATGTCTGCAGCTTAAAATGTATTTTTACTGAATATGCCTTGTTTTTAAGTATACCAAGCTTTAAATTTTTCTAATAAGTGTTTGAAGAAAACTAAGAAGGCAGTATTCATCAGAACAAAAACGGAACCCTAAAAACGTACATATTGATTATAGTATGAGAGGTATTTTTTTGTTTTGTTTTGCATGGGTAGGGATCAGTTTTTGTTTTCTGTGTTGCCTGGGCCGGCCTCAAACTTCTGAGCTCAAATGATCCTGCCCAGCCACCCCAGTAGCTGGGACACAGGCATGTGCCATGCACCTGCCAAGAATAGTATTTTAATATCTGCCTGTTCTGAGGTAGAGTGGAACTTAGTTCTACATTGTGATATAGAAATATTTTAAAAATCTCCCAATTCTGTTCTTCAGGGGAGAAGCCAGCCAGGCTTCCAGGGTTTAGCTTAAAGTCACTAATTCATTTGTGCCATCCTCTGATAACCTATGCATGACCTGGAAGCAGGGGTTAAAGAATGGGGTTGAGGGCTGGGGATGTGGCTCAAGCGGTAGCACGCTCGCCTGGCATGCGTGCGGCCCGGGTTCGATCCTCAGCACCACATACCAACAAAGATGTTGTGTCCGCCGAGAACTAAAAAATAAATATTAAGTTTAAAAAAAAAAAAAAAAGAATGGGGTTGAGTAAATGAGAAGAAATTGTCATGCTCAATTAGTGGTTAACTACTACCGTCAAGTGAATTCAGAGGAAAAGGGTTTTATTTTTTACTAGTAAGTTTCAGAAAACAGGCAGACTTAAAATAGTTTGTAGATGTTATTAAAGAGTAAAAGGCTAAAACATTGGTATATATTTGAATTCTTTTACTTGGAATATTGTTCTATTAAGCTTCCTGCTATATTTTATCATTTGTGTTCTTGCATTTATATAATGCCTAATACTTTTCTGAGTTATTTTACATATATGATCTTTGTGAGAGTAGATGCTTTATTCTGATATCTAGTTTCCTACTTTGGCAAAACCAATTTGAGATTAATAAAATGATAGAATAAGTAGATGAAGAAAATAGGACCCAGAGAGGTCAAGAAGGGACAGAGAGACCCAGATTCACACTACAAGATAACGGTGTCACCAGCATTCTAGATGGCCATCAAATGCTGGTCCAGGTCAGGACTAGATGTATCTTTTGCTATGTATATTTCTGTCAGGAAATTTGTACCTGTTTTATTTTTTATTTCCTCAAATTAAGTAATGATGTTATTGTGATCATGTTTAACTCTACCCTTCCTCATAACAAATAGCAGTGTTGTGAAGAACATTGTAAACTTTGTACATTTGGGGGAGCATTTATAAAATGTGAACTCATGATCCAAGGGCATGAGAATGGAGGGTCATGGAAGAAAGGACTGCACGTAAGTAGATTTGCATGTTGAATCCCATATAGAAGATGGTCCAGTGAGTGAATGCCACAGAGCACTTTAGACATGTTACGTGGTTACATTTGTTACTGTTCAAAAATTCATTCAGGAAAAAAATATTGGCACACCAATAAGTAATGTACACTTTGCCCTGAAAAGAAAAGCAATCATAAAACTTGTTTTAAATACAAAATAGAGCATGTTTTAGAATAATCTTTTGATGCATGTACATTGTATTATAGGTAGGCAGAGAAATCTGGTTTATTTATGTAAAAACTAGTCTAATAAAGTTAGTGGATTTATTACTCTTTAAATTGTTAGTGTGGTTTAATGCTAGTATGCCAGAAGACAGTGTCTTTGTGGACAAAATTAATACACTGCTTCTAATGCAATTTGCCCCTTTTAGGATTAAAAAACAAAAACCAACCTATGTTATATGTGTTGCTATTGTAATTTAACCATCAGTTACTGGTCTTTTGGTATCCTACCCTTAGCTCTCATAAAGGATAATGCTGAATAATTATCAGAAAATTAAAACTTCAGGCTTTTTCTGTTAAAATATAAATTTTTCATCCTTTTTTAAATATGAACACACTCAACATTTGAATAGAACCAGGGAGAAAAACGCAAAACCATTTATGTCTTCATGCCTGTTCTCTACCTAGTTCATTTAACTTCAGCCTTATTCCTTGAAAAGTGATTCTACCACCTGAAGTCCACCCAGTGACCATAGCTCTTATTTTGAAATTAAAGGTTAATGAAGTTTGTATACTTACAAGATACTTATTTATTAAAGCTCATATTTAAGGTAGTTTTAGAAATAGAAATCAAATAATTTTTAAATATGTAATTTTTTGCCCATGTTAACTAGTTAAAACTATAACATATATATAAAAGTATGATGATCAGATAGAATTCCCAGAAATATTTGTCTATTATCATATGTTTAACCAAGGAAATCAAGAAGGAGAAATCTTCCTCCATTCACTTATATCCTACATCATTCTCCTTTTTGTTTTACTCAGCTGGTTTTAAGAGCAAATTTCTAAACCACATACTTGTGTTTCAGTAAAGTTTTATTATGATGAAATGAGTAAAATATCAAAACAATAAGCTATGTAAAACTTAATGTTATTTCAAAGAATTGGAATAGCTTTCTATTACAGGCATCACTGTTACATTGCCCGGGTAAGATTACTTTTTAATTAAAAAAAATTTTGTACTTTTATGTACATTTAGAAAACACACAGCCATAATAATGGCCAGCTATTTAGGATTAGTCTAAAACTGGGGATTATCACAGACTGCAAAGAAAAAAGTATATACTAGCAAGCCTACAGCCTAATTCTTTAGACTGGTCCTTGGCAGCAGTTCCTTTTCAGATTGTTAATAAAGTGAATTAAAATATAAGTCAAAAAAAATTTCTAAAGTCAACAATATCTTTTGGATTAGTTGATTTTTCCCATCATGTATTCTCCAAGTCTGTGCATTAGCATATGTTCTAGTACACACAGCATTAGATAAAAGGTGCAGCTCAGGGTGAGCTCTTCTGTTACTTACTTGTTCCTATATTTTTAAGGGCTTTTTGCTATCAATAACTCCCTCAGACTGGTTAGTTTCATTACCCAGTTGTTGACAGATAATAATGAAAATGCACTCAAGGCCAGTGGTGATAAATATTCCCAGTCTTTATCCCTTGAATACATGCTTTGGTAACTACAGGTTTCAAATGCCGTTACATGAATACCAAAATGATGTGTCAGAAACAATTTAAAGATGGGTATTTGAGAACTGTTTGTAGTCTTTAATGTGCATTATATTAAATGATATACTTTAAATGTGCAATTTGCTAGCACAACATGCAGTGATTAGCATTAGGCGTGTGTCCTGTGTACATCCTAGCCGTGCCCTATTTCTTGTAAGTGCAATCCTTTATGTTCACATGCTGTCTCACCCCATCTCATCTGATTTCATTTGGAAGGCTCTTGTAATTTTAAATTGCAGTGAATTGTGTGTGCTAATTAAAACCACAGCTGTCATTTTTATGTTGACATAACTCAAAATATTATCATAAACATTTTACTATATATCAATTCTAATCATTTAAGTAAGTTTAAGAAATAAATTCTCATTAAGTTTTTCCTGTGTGTGGTTACAACCATCTGTCCTGCATAATTTGAGGTAATGGCAGTTGTCAGTACTAGCATTGGTTAAATAAGGGCCTTAGTATAAACACAAATGTTTTATGAGTTTCTGTGGTTTTTTTAACTGTTCATTTGGCATCATGGCATAGGATTAAGAAGAAAAGCAATACAACATCATAGCCTTAATAATGTAGAATGGAGATGGCAGATTTCATTTACCAGATTTTCTCCATGAGTTCTGGAATCTCTTGCAGGGATGAAAGGGACCTAGCACACAGGTGCGTGCCTTCCTGTGGCCTGTGTATGCCCACACTGTACTGTGTTTCCCTCCTTGTTGGGAGACCTGAAGCAGGTTGACACACTGCTTCCTCTTGAGATCACTGAGTAAGAGTTGATGAAACTGATAGAGTCAACAAGCCCACCTGGAAAAAAAAAATTGTTACTAGTGGAACTTTATGCCTTCATATTATGATTTCATCTAAAATATGCAGTGAGTAAAAAAAAATCCACAAACCAATGTTTTATCCCTTCAAATCTATTATCAGCATTTATAGAAATATCTTGGCTCTAGGCCATGTGTTCATTTGTTTAAAATCACATGTTTTGCTGTGTCTGTTTTTTTGTTTTGTTTGGCAGTACTGGGGAGCGAACCCAGGGGAGCCCTACCACAGAGCTACATTCCCAACCCTTGTTATTTTTTGAGACAGGTCCTACGTTGCACAGGCTGGCCTCCAACTGACAATCGTTCTGCCTCAGCCTCCCAACTAGCTGAGGTTACATGCATGGGTCACAGCACCTGTCTCAGCCTGATGTCTTTAATGTATGTGCCTCTTGTCTGATCCTAATTTGTACAATGGATATAGGCCTTCCTGCTTCCACAAAGATGGCCTATTTTGTTTTTCTGGCTTAAAGGCCAAGAAATGATTCAGGATTACTTAACTTTCCATTTAAACTTTGTTCTTTCTAAAGTAATAGCACACATTCTTTTTTAGACTTTCAACACATAAA